GGAAATTTTTCGGCGCGCGTTTCTGTGGGACTACATACGTAGTATATAAATTCACATAAGAATCATACAAGCATTAAGATCCAGCTAGACCATGTAAGGCTTCGATTCTATAGTTTAAATTATTTGTTTACAACTGAAATTGAGTAATTTCTTTGACCAAATTAAGAAAGCTTATCATATTTAGTGTGTGCTATTGAGTTCAAATTTCGTGCCCTGTGTACTACAGCAAGTAACTTGTGACCATAGAGCACGAAAGTACGTCTGCAGCGCATGTGCGCATCGTATATTTTGTGGCAGTGACAGATTTTCTAAATAGACATTAAGTTTGATTAAAGATACATGAAATATCAAGCTAATGTCTCTGTTCACATGATAATGCGACGCTTTTTTTCAAATCTTTATTTTTACGCGAAAACGCATCGAGTGAGTATATTTTTATCGATATTTGAACGAGAAATGATCGTCAACGTGACATCAAATTGACGTCAAGAAAATTAATCCGCCGGTCACTAAATGGTACATTTCATCTGATGCACTAACCGGGACAGATGGTGGTATCACTAATAGAGCCAGATTAAATTCAAATGGTCACAAATACGTTTACATTTACATAGTCCGTTATTTCTTTTTTTATTTTTATTAGATTATGCTTAGAACTTCAGAAAAATATGTTTTTTGATACAAAAATGATTAATCTTGAGTCTGGTAAAATTGATTCCTGATTTTAATTATTTTTTAGTATTTTTTATTCTTATTAATTTATACGACTATCTTACATGGTCACAAATAGGGACATTTACCTTAATGGTGAACATAAAAATAGAGAAGAAATTAAGCTATTTGAAATGTTACAGGAGGAACGTAGTAGTCATTAAATATAATATATAACACGTTGTTCAACATAAACTTTATGTATAACTCGTAAAGATGTTGAACTTAATTGTAATCGCAATTAAATACAATAGAATATAAATCTATTCAATTCTAACCTTTGATTTTTCTCTCTTTTTCTTTAATGCATACTCTGAATACATGCAAAAGAAATTTTCGATGTAAGATCTCTTCTATTATAATATGTATGTGATATACATATATAATATAATAATAGATACACATTAATACTATAAAAGAATAATAGAAAAGATAATAGAAAAGATCACGTACATATTATAATACGTACATATTATAATAGAAAAGATCTTACATCGAAAACCTCATTTACATGTATCCAGAGTATGCATTAAAGAAAAAGAGAGAAAAATCAGAGGTTAGAATTGAATAGATTTATATTCTATTGTATTTAATTACGATTACAATTAGGTATACAACATCTCTACGAGTTATACATAAAGTTGATGTTGAACAACGTGTTATATATTATATTTAATGACTACTACGTTTTTCCTGTAACACTTCAAATAGCTTAATTTCTTCTCTATTTTTATGTTCGCCATTACTTTGGTCTCCCAGCAGTCCCAGCGGGAGAAACGAAACGCAGCGTTGGTAATTTCCAATAATGCCAACTTTATTTCCTTTCCCAACACCAGCTAAATGAATTTTCGAACGCAGCCAAAGTTAACCTGTGTTGACATGTGATAACTTTTTATCAAAGTAACCAAGTAGTGACGTCATTAATCCGAGTATAAAATACTCGACTCACTTCAAACTCAGTTTCATTTGTGTGTAAATGGAAAGCAGCTTTTACCAGGTATGTAAATATGAAACCGGAATTTTTTAATAGAAAATACACGTTTATTGCATGAAAATAATAAAAAATATTTTATTCGAATTTGCCCATCACTAGCTGTAACGTCCGTCGAAAATT